ACATAACAGCAGCCCTCCCGTGCCTTCAGCACCTAGTACAGTGGCAGCAAACTTAGTACAAGTGGCAGCCAACTTCAGTAAATAGTTTAGCATTTGCAGATCATACGGTTTCCACTCAACCCTGTTGTTGCTCCAAAGCAGAGGGGAGAGAATACGTAAACAAAGGGGTGTGGCTGTTCCCAATAAACTTGATTTATATGAGCAGGTGGATCTGGCCCTCCCATAACAGTGGGCTAAGCCCTGATGTAGTAAGCGATCCTTTTCCTGCCTGGCTGTGTCAATAACCCTCTGGGAGACCTTCAGCCAGTACTTACTCCATCCAGGCCTCAGTGTTCACATCTGTTAAGTGGGGATCAGGTACCGGTTCCTGGTGGAGTGGTGAAGATTGGGACAAGTGGGAGGAATATGAAAACTCTGACACACATGAGATGCTTGGTGGCTGTGAATTCCTGTCTCTGGAATGTGCGGCCTGTGCCTGTTAATACATTGGATTCTCCCTCTTGTTTTTTCTCCCCCAGAAAATGTTTAAGGTGGAGAAGGTGAATTGCATCTGCGTGGACTGGATGCGTGGGTCCAGGACAGGTTACAACCAAGCCGTCCACAACATCCGAGTCGTGGGAGCCGAGACAGCGTTCTTAATACAAGGGCTGTCGGTAAATCCTCCTGTGCCCCATCCTGTGGGGAGGGCCCCGAGGGGGCAGGCAGACCCTGTGCACCCAGAGGCAGCCTGGGGACTGGTGCGCAGGGGCTGGGCCTGGAAGCCTGGACACACAGAGGGGCGTTTCCTAAGGTGAAACTGCAGCCTTCCCCTCCTGGAGTGTCCTGAAGATCCCTACTGGCCTGGGGCAAAGGAACCACTTTGGGCCTTGGTTTCCCCTTTTGAAATAAGCCATCCTTGGAGGCTGTTCTGGGAATTGTCAGGCCAGAAGATGGGTCTTCTTTCTCAGAAAGGGGAAAATGCCTTACTGCCTTCTGGAAGGTCTATTCCCGAGCACCCCCGAGCTGGGCCCGCTACCCAGGCTGTCCAGGCAGGCCCAGGCCCTGCAGTAGGGGAGGGAGGCCGCGGTGGGTGTGGATGGAGCAGGCAGTGCCCAGTCATGCTCCCCAGGCCGCCTGCAGCGGACACAGAGGCCACTGGTCAGCACTGTCGCTACCGCCTTTTCCCTCCCTTTCCCCGATTTTCTCCCCCCAGCCTGTGCACGGGGACTCAGACACTGGGGTAGCCCAGGGTCCGATCACGCTGTCCTAGGTGGTCCCGGAGCCAGGTCATTCCTGCAGAGACCTGTCCCCATCCCCTTCCCTGAGCCAGGGCATCCTCACCTGGGCCTGGGGTCCCTGACCCGCCATCCTTCCACAGACCAAGATGGGCTACAGCTTGGAGAACGTGCACATCATTGGCCACAGCCTGGGCGCGCATGCGGCTGGCGAGGCAGGCCGAAGGCTGGGGGGCTGTGTGGGCAGGATCACAGGTAAGGGGTGCGGGGGTGGGGTGACAGGGGCTGGCCTGTAGGGCAATGGAAGCCCAGACACAGGCACTTCTCATGGCCAAGGGCGCCCCTACAGTCCTCCAGGGACACTGATTTTAGGTGCTGCCAGACTTAGATTTAAATAATAATTGCCTATACATTTTCATGTAAATTACAAAAGATATAAGATTATAAATGAAAACACGTTTATTAAAAAAGAAAAAATGTAACTAGCACATTCAATTCCTAACTTAGGATTATTATAGCTAGAGTACGGCAGATTTTTGAGCAGTGAAATGGTTTTTTAATACGAATTCATCAGTTCCATAATTATTAATTGTCGTGTCTGTGCCAGCTACAGGCAGAAAATGAAAGTAGCTGAGACCTGTCACAGGAAGCACATGGTAGATAATAAGAATGAATGAATGAATCACTAGGCAAATGAAGGCACACAAGACATAGACACAGACACCGCTGAGTCCCGTGTGTATGTCACTGTGCATACAGTGTGATGGCTGTCTCCTTTGCCCAGGGCTGTGTGCTAGGCATTGGGGGAAGGATGGGGGATTCATAGATTATGTTTTCAAAGACTTTTTCAGATTGCAAAGTTCTTTCTCTTATACCTTTGCGTGGGGCTTTCACAATAGCCCCATGAGGTAGGTTGCTGTTATTCCCACTTTCCAGATGAGGAAACTGAGGCTGAGGGAAGACATGCCTTTGACCTTGAGCAGAACCTGGGCTAGAATATAGGTCACTGAGTCTGTGGGCCATGCTCCTCCCACCCTCTGCTTCTCTTTGAAGATGAGCTGGGCACAGCCGCTGCTTCAGGCAGAAAGCCGCATGGATTTTGTGGGTCCAGGGGTTGGAACCTGGTTTGTCACTGTCCACCTCCCCCTTTCAGGACTGGATCCGGCAGAACCAGGCTTCCAGGGCATGCCCGAGGAGGTGAGGCTGGACCCGTCGGACGCCATGTTTGTGGATGTGATTCACACAGACATCTCACCCACAGTCCCTTACCTAGGTGAGTGCCTCACTCCCCCTCTTGGTGACCAGGGATGTAACTGGTAAGAGTAGGTCCAGGGGTGGTATTCAACATGGTTAACAACAGTAATAGCTTGGAAGCCAACCAGTCAAAGTGGGTGCCAACTACAAATAAACAGCCAGCCCAGCACCAGTGGTATCAGCCTGTGGCCCCAGGCAGGTCAGACAAAGTCTTTTGTAGCCTATGGAAGGCTGTTGCTCAGTCCTCAAACCCTGTGACCTTCCCTAGGCTCCACTATCCATTCCTGCACTGGTGGCGGGGGGGTGGTTTGTAGGGGACGTGTTGAGGGTCCATATTGCTGCTGCAGAGGCAGGAGAGGCTTCTGCCACCACTGCTGTGCTCACCAGCCAGAAGCCAGGCTCCCTGCTCCTTAGTGCTACCTCCCTTGGAGGCCGGAGAGGCTCCCTCAATCTCTGCAGCTGTGAGCCTAGTTTCTGGCTGAGCGGTGCTCTCCCCATGGGAGCACACCGACCACCAGGGGGCAGCTCCTGCATTGAGCGTCTGCCCCCTGTGGTCAGTGTGCATTATATCTACAGATTGTTCTACTGTTCGGTTGATTTGCATGTCCGGGTTTTATTATATAGGATGCTTCACCTATACTTGCAAAATGCAAAGTTAATGTTTGAATATTTTGCTCACTTCTTTTGTGGAAACTTTGGTTCTAGTTTGTGTTGTTGGAAACAAATTATATTCCTTTACTTAATTCTTCTAAAATAAAATGGGTGAGTTGTTGTTAGTTTAAGGAAATGAAAATTTAAAATAAATAATATTATGTAAAAAGTTAATATTACATAAACTCAATGTTCTTTTCTCAATATTTCCTTATGTAACCGCTCATGAAACATGCCAACAAGAGTATGTTTTAAATAATAGTGATGGTTACCATGGGCTGCATTGGACATTTTGTATATACTTGCTCATTAATCATGGTAACAACACTAGAAAGTGGGCATTATTATTACTGTTTCATAGCTGAGGACACAGAGGCTTGAAAAACTTTAGTAAGTGCCCGAGATCACGGAGTGTGTAAATAGGACCAGGATGTGATCACAGGTCTGTGTGCTTAAAAACCCAAAGTGTCCAGCCATTATGCTGGGCTCCCAATACAACAATGAGATCTCAATATAACCTTCTAACATAGAAATCAAAATTTCAGAATGAGTAAAGGAATGGGAATTGCACCAGTCCTGATAGGTGTCTATGATGCATAATGGTATCAGGGGATATCGGTATTGTTCACGGCCTCCCCAGGACAGACAGACAGACAGACAGACACACATGCAAATACACATGTAGGCATGCTCACTGCCTCTGCTCGCTCCCCCTTCCTTTCTTGCTATGGGCTCATCTTGGAGAGGGATCTGCAAAGCCCGGTGGGGTGGCTGTGCTGAAGGGACAGTTCGCCAAGAAGACTCTCGCTCTGGTCGGAAGGAGTCGGACGCTCACTGGGGCCATGACCTGGCCTCAGGAGCACTTCCCTCCCTGCTCACCGCCGCTTCCGATGTTTCAGGTTTTGGAATGAGCCAGAAGGTGGGCCATCTGGATTTCTATCCAAACGGAGGAAAGCAAATGCCAGGATGTCACAAAAATATCCTTTCACCCTTCTTTGATATAAATGGACTCTGGGAAGGTACGTGCATTAGCAAAGCAAGAGGGCAGTGCCCTCCCTGGGGAGAAGGCAGGATGCATGGCCGGGCCCTGGTAGCACTGAATTTGCCTCCACGTACTGCATGCTCATTCTGTCCCAGGCATTGTCACAGCGCCATGAGGGAATTACTCTGCTTATCCCCATTTTACAGCTGAAGAAACTGGGTCTGAACAGTTATCAAACTTGCCCAAGGCCACCTCATATTAAAGTTCAATTTCTGGCTGCAAAGTCCCAACCTCGTACCCAATAAAACCTGGGACCCTTGAGTCCCCAGCCTGGGTCGTTCCCCCTCATGAGGATGCTGAGGCCTGAGCTGGACCGGCACATTGGCAAATACCAGTTCTAGCTATGCCCACCCCCACCCCAGCTGCTTGAATTGCTTGCTCCTAGAAGGGCAGGTACAAAGGCTTGGAGGGCTTTGACGTTCTTACCCTTTGCTGTGGGCAGGTGCTAGGATGGGAAAGGGACTGAGCTGGTAAAAGGACCGAGTGGGGACATGTTCCGTGGGTTTGGGGTGTGCGTGCATGGAGCAGGCAGAGACCTGGAGGTCTAGGGGGGATGAGGCTTGTGGGTGTCAATGTCAGAAATGTCCAAACCTGTAGAGAATTTTTATGAGTTTATTAGAGCCAAACTGATGACAATTGCTGGGCAGCTATATCTCAACGGACTGAGAACATGCTCCGGAGAACGGCAGTTTTGCGGCTTATTTTATACATTAGAATAAAAAGAGGAGACATAGGGGTTCCATGAAATCCACGGGTGGTAGATTAGGGAGGGGGAGGAAAGTAAAACGGGAAATCTCTGGAATTGGATAAAAAGTAAAATAGAGGGCACATTCTTTTACATTGGTGGGAACAGGATAGCTAATGATCAACACTGACAGCACATAGAGGTGATATTTGGGAAACAAGGTCACAGTGAGGGGTTCTAGGGTCTGGTGCTCTTATAAGAGGGTTCCTTGAGGAATTTGGAAAAGATTACTCGGATATGTAAAAGGTGTGTTTTCTTAGATGCAAAAAGAAAACAGTTTCACTTAAGGTAAAGGTTCCTTGTCACCCTGGCCAGATGGCTCAGTTGGTTGGAGCTTTGTTCTATATACCAAAACGGTTTTGGGTTTGATTTCTGTTCAGGGCGCATATGGGAGGCAACTGATTGATATTTCTCTCTCACATCAATGTTTCTCTCTCTCCCTTCCTCTTTCTCTAAAATTAATAAACATATCCTCAGGTAAGGATTAAAAAAAAAAAGATTGACCTTTGTCAAGGAAGCCACAGGCCTGGGACAGGACTACCCTCCATGACCAGCTTTTAATTAGGATTTTTTATGTTCGGGTGGTTACATTCAGCCTCTGAGTTTGTAAGGCCACCATGCAGGCCTCCCCTGAGTTTGTCAGGTATAGTATGTGGCCCCTTTTTTGTCCGCATGAGGTCTGCGTTTACATGAGAGACAGGCTCAGTCCCCCTATAATTAGGTGACTTACAGCGCCACCTCCATCACCTGTCCTTGTCTGGCCTCTGCTCTTCTCCTGTTGCCTCTCCCTGGAGACCAGGCTTCATCTCCCCCCGGAACATGGAGGCTTTGAGTCTGCCATCATTTCATTTTAGTGTATATTTGTCTCCCCTGGGAGTTTCCCGGGCATCCCAGACACCCCAGTACCCGGCTCAGGGCCTGGCCCAGAGCAGGCGCTCAGTACAGCCCACTCCACTGGGCAGAGAGGCCTTCTGTGGCATTGAATATTCCATGTGCTTAATGTGAATGAATAGAGTGGATAAAGCAGTAGCCCACATCCACCGTCAGCCAATGGACCCTTTGAGCGCTCTACCCAGCACCAGGTAACTCCAGGGAAGACCTAGCTGAAGGAGCACTGAGTAACAATGAGGCTGCTCCTCCCAGAAGCCACCAGCAGGGCCCACATAATAGCAAGGAGCCCAGCTTTAATTAAAGAGGCAATTCACAGTGAACAAGCCCACAGGATGTGTATCTATTGTGTGGGCTCCCAGTCACCCAGGTGCTGGGCTGGAGGAACAATTAAATCCACTTGCCCCTCTATTATGGATCCCTGGGCAGCAATTCTGGATGAAAGAAACAATTAAGGTGGAAACAGGTTGTGTTGCCTGGTAATGAGTGTTGGTGCAAGAGTCCCTGGGCCCTGGGGCAGGCAGAGCTAATCCACCAACACAAAGAGGACCCCCAGACCTCACAGAAGTGGTCCCCAGGTATGTCTGGGTCACTGTGCATCACGCCATGGGAGGTTTTGTACCGAGGAGCTGGAGAAATGAAAAAAAAACAAAAACAAAAAAACCCCCACAATTTTTCAAATTAGAGGACTTGAGTTTAAAGAAAAGGGTGGTAGATAAAATGCAGTGACACAGTGGTCTAGGCCCCAGGGGACCTTGGTCTCCACTGCTTTGACCTCAGGCTTTCCAAGGAGGAGGAATTTCTCAGCCTGGGGCCATGGCCACAGAAAAGCTGCCTTCCTGGGACAGGCCCTGCAGGTATGGTTTCTGGTTCTCAAACTGGGGCCCTCTGGCCCAGCCCTGCCACAGCAGCCTGTGGTTAGCCTTCACAGGGACTGGTTTTAAAGAGGGAATGCACTGCTGTCATGTAAGCATGAAACATTGTCATGTCAAAGTCAAGATGCAGGTTTCTCATGAAAAATCAGAAGACCAAGCATCTGGGCCTTAACATT